GGGTGTATCTGCTGCAGAATTCTGTTTGATTTAGCTGATAACTGAGTTGGTTTCTCTCCCCGAGGATTCGCAGCATTTTGTCTTGGCTACACGTTTCAGCACAGCCTGAAATAACATTGGCTTTCTCACATGAGATGTGTTGTGGGAGGTCTGTGCTGGAGGCCTATTCAGCACTGGGGGTGAGTGGGGGGGGGGGGGGGGGAGTTAGACACCATATGTCACCCTGATCTAAGAGACTGGTGAATGTGGCTGGGCCTGCTTCATCCACGTTCCAGCAAGAGGAACTCGACCGAATCTTGCAGACGGCACCTGCAAGCTCGTGTTCCACTTACACCTCAAACGTGCAGCTTTTCTGCTCTGAGCTCTGGTTAGAAAAGGCTGTGGGCTCTAGATATTCACAGTAAGACCCCCTGCTGATCCCTGAACCCTTTTTAATGACTAAACAGCGTGCTGAACATACTTATGGCTGTAAATGTGATGTCGTACATGCCGTACATCTGCAAATGTCACTTTTTGACACTAGGAGACATCTACGTGCTGTATTAGATTGGGGGAAATCAAATTAGGTTTTTGCTGTTTTTTCACGTTGGGTTTTATGCTCACTAGGAATATGTCTACCTTATGTTATCAGCCCTGTGCAGCTGAAGATAATGATGCAAGGGCTGGTCCATATTCTCTGGGGACGGTAGCCTGTTAGCTCAGGGTAGGATCTACAGGAAATGGTTACCTGTCATTTCCACTCCTCCGGCGAATCCCTCGCCTCCCACGTAAGACGTTTGCATGTTCCCTCCTGAGTGCTGTTGCGAGCGCAGACTCTCACCTGGACGTCTGCTCGGATCTGCTGGATGTTGGGCTTTTCTTTTTGTTCAGGTGGACTCTTAGCGCTTGTGGTTCCCCAGCTGCACGGGTGACAGCAGGGTGGGGGGGGGGGATGCCCCCCTGAGCCCTGGCAGGCTTGTGGATGTGGCCCCCCCACACCACGCCACCCAACGTTAATTATAGAAGAGGTGGTGGGAGGCTCCTCTGTTCCTGGGCTCTGACTCGTCGACGTCGCCCTACCCCGCTGATGTGCTCCCAACGTAATTCGTAAGTGTGCCGGCTGACTGAGCTCTCCAAAGCGAAGCCGGCCCGCATGTCAGAGCACCTTCCATAAAACCAGTTACACCATAGCAACAGCCTCTGGCCAGTCTGAGTCACTTTTGAAGGCCCTAGTGGCGTATACATTTGTGCGGGTGTAAGCATACACATATACACATACACACACGTATACACGTATACACATATACATAAATATATACACATATATACACACACATACACACGTATACACAAATACATATATATATATACATACACACACACACATACACATACACATATACACGTATGACAGAGCATAACAAGCTGCTGTAGCCCCCTTGAAGCTGGTGGATTGACACAAAGCAGAATTCCCATGTGTACTTACCCTGAATACCAGTCAGATATTTGGAGACACCAAACCACCTACGGAGGAGAGTGATAGACGGGCATCACATGACCTGGACACCTGACCTAAACACGGCAAAAATGGATTTAGAGGAGTTTGAGCAGAGAGTGAAGGAGAAGTGGCCAATGAGAGCTCAGCATATATGTGGGACCTCCTTCAGGGCGGCTGGGAAAGCATCTCAGGAGGCACCTCATGGAACTGGTGTTTGGTCAGTGTGTAATTACATATACACTCACCTAAAGGATTATTAGGAACACCTGTTCAATTTCTCATTAATGCAATTATCTAATCACCCAATCACATGGCAGTTGCTTCAATGCATTTAGGGGTGTGGTCCTGGTCAAGACAATCTCCTGAACTCCAAACTGAATGTCAGAATGGGAAAGAAAGGTGATTTAAGCAATTTTGAGCGTGGCATGGTTGTTGGTGCCAGACGGGCCGGTCTGAGTATTTCACAATCTGCTCAGTTACTGGGATTTTCACGCACAACGGTTTCTAGGGTTAAGAATGCTTTCAGCACCTTGTTGAATCAATGCCACGTAGAATACACACACATGTGTGTATGTGTGTATATATATATGTGTGTATATATATATG